CCATGACATATGAGAGCAGGATGGCAGATTGCTTCCTAGAGTGCTTCCTCACTCACTCCCCTTCCTCAGGTCTCATTTTGGACAGAGAACCCAGGCTTCTCATGGCAGTGCCTTTTGTTTCATGTATCAATAGTGAGCTGGCTAAATATCTAAGGGCTGCCAAGTCAAATTGTAAAATCTTTCAGGTTTTTCCAGTCCACATCAAAAGAAATTCCAGAAAAGTTAGGAGATTCTTTACATGTCAAAGTCCCCTATCTCTTCCTAATATTTGGTTCAAAGCATTGCAGTGAAGTTCATATAACTTTAGCATATAATATATTAAAAATATGGCTAATGGACTTAGCAAAGTCAACTGTTTAAGCAGTTTTAAAGAGATGGGATGACCAACCACACATCAGAAATCATCTTCTGTGGACTTTCTTCTGCTCTACACAACCAAAAAACTACAGTAAATCTTCTTGAGTCTAAAAACCCATCACCTTAATTAACAACCAGAGACCTGGCAGCTTATTCATATCCTTTACAAGAGAATAAGAATCACACAGGTCCTTGACCATAAAAGACTGTGCTTGGGAGGAGAGAGAAGTGCCACATTTTACTGGCCATTCCCTTCAGAAGGAAAGGCAGGATCCTGCCACATTTCAGTTACCTCAATGGTTTGGTGTGACAGCCTGACTCTCATAGGGGCCAGAATGGTAAAGAGGAAACAGTGAATTAATTGTGTATCACAACCACAATGCTTCCTGTCGCGCCTATTGCTCAGGCCATGTCCAAATTCAGAGTATGACCCCAGTACATTGCCACATATGAAATAAGGACGCTATTATTTCCAACTTTCATATTCCAGTTTAGCTCCTGCAAACCCCAGAGTTCTTGGGCATTGGATTCTGTCACACATCTTATTCACCAATGGATAATATAACACCAATGCAATCACTCAGTGACCTTGCCCTCTAAGCTACCAAGTCAGACATTGCTGAGAGGAAATGACATGCAGCTTAAGAAACTTGTTTATATACAAAATACAAATACGGAAGTGATTTCACCTATGTTATGGCTGATAATACTCAGGGATACAGACATCAAAAATCTCTAAATTCCTGTGTAATTAAGATCAGCTATTGAGTCCACCTCTACATGCCATCTTTCAGTTTGCAATGGAACTTGGACAAAATGCTTAGATGAAGTAAAAAAGTGACAGATATTATTACTATTAGAAGCTGTATATTAGAAAAGCAGGATGAAGAGATTCCACTGATAAATGGAAATATATGGATATACGGGAAAAATCATGGAATTCAAGTCAATACCTTTTTCAGGCTCGGTTTCAATACTCTCAAAATACTGTCTTGCAGAAAGAGATTGAAAGTTTCATTTTCAGTAAATATTCTCTGGTATTTCTGAGTCTTTTAATAGCAGACCTTCCTTTTTCCACATCACAAATTTTCTGCTTGCCTACTTCCCCCAACCACTTACATGCTATGATCCAGCTGTTATTTATTAAAGACTGGCTCATAATGTAAAGGGCTTAAGTCTTTTTCTGTTCAGTTATTGTTCCTCAAGTCCCAGAATCTCTTTGTATGAATTTATTTCCCAATTCTGTTCAAGTGAAAGAAACCAGCAGCTTCTTCCATGTCCAGGCATGTCCAAGACCTTTATAACACATCCTGCTTGTTTAGGACAAGTAGGGAGAGTTTAAAAACAGCATGAGTGAAGGGGAGGTGGAAAAGAAGACATCTACAGATCCTTCTAGAAAGTTTAGGAGGTGAAATTATAGTGTGTGTGTGTGTCTGTGTATGTTATTAGTTCAAGCTTCTTTTCACTTACTTTGCTGTTGTTTATAGAGTTAATGACAATTGTTTACACAACTGTGTTAAGTATCCTTCTACTTCTTTCCACAAGTCAAACATGCCAAGCAGAACTGGAATGACATTTCTGGATGAAATCTCAATAGCAAAAAAAAAAAAAAAAAAAAAAGAAATGGCAAAATTCCCAGGTAGAAGTTAGACAAATCCTCTAAAAACCCTGGCACTTGGACTCGACCCCACAGGATAATATAAATTGCACTGCCAGAGGACAAACAGTTCTGTGGTGGAAGAATATTAGCCTTGATGTTGGCAGGCTTTTGGTGAAATGCTCTGTTCTGCTGCAGGGGTCTTCCTGGGAAAGCACCCACTCTTGTGTGTGGTTAACTGCTGGCGATATGGGACAAATGAGTCTGAGTGCTGATGAGCTGAGGGAAGAAATGAGCAGTATTCCTGGACCTATTCTGGATGCTTCACTGCTGTATAAGCTGGCAAGTCACCCCTGACATCTACATGGTCTCCAGCCCAGCAGAAGGACAACAGTGACTTCATGGAACAGGGGGGATCAGCTTCCCAGAACTGGGATGGGAATAGCAGCATCTCTTTACCTATGGAACCAAGGCATGAAACAGGCATCTGACCTGCTTCATGCCTTGTCAAGGATTAAGTGATTCTGGGCACCCCTGAAGCAGAACTCATCAAATAGTTGACCTGTAAGTAAGGCAAGAGTGCCATGTGAGGTATCAGCTCAGCTCACTCCATTGAAATTCGAGCTGCGTCTTTGCCAGTAAAACTTCAGTAAAACTACTTTGAAGTAAAGCTTCACTGTGTCCCCTGGCAATGTAATTTTCAAACACTTTAAACTTCTGATTAAAGCCACAACACAGCTCCTGTTTTTATCCTGCAATACTTAAACCCAGGACTGAATACTCACATTAGTCCGAACACTAAGACTGCTATCTTGGGGTTCAGCATAAGAAGGCAAGTCATCTCTTGGATCCATGTGTAAATATCACACTTGCTCACACATCTCAGAGCCATGCAGACTTCTCAGCAGTGAATTTGCATCACTTGTGCTGCCAAACCCAAGGCAAGATACAGCTCTTCCTCCCAACACTCACCAGCTACTCCATAAATGTCAGCTTGAGCATGCAGGCAACAGGATCTGGAAGGGGAAACAAACTGCTGGAGATTGAACATGCCTATTGGCAGCCATGCAAAAGTCACAGAGAAAGAAAATCTTCCTAAACATCCAAAAAGGCTCACTGAAATGTTTGCCAACTGGGTGTGCTGCATCTTGTGCTCCGACTGATTCTCCCCTGGACACAGCAAACAGGGTGTTTACAAAACATTCAGCTGAAAGCAGAGGATAAGTGCCATATGCAAGCTGCTGCTGCCAGGCACAGAGATACAAACACAGTATTTATAATGTCCCTGCTATGTGTCTGGAGTTCTATGTGGAAATGCAAACATCATACCCTACAAATGCAGCTTGGGATGCTCTTCCATGACCAGCAAAGAGAAACCCTCTCTCTCCTAGCTTCTCAGCCTTCCTGGCTGCCTTCCTGCACCACTATTCCCATCCATGATATCCCACCCCTCCTTCATGAAGGCTCATCTCACCCCTTAGGGTGCCAGTGCATTTGCTAACCTCAGCATCAAACTATTTTTAGTGGGATTTGGGTTATTTTTCTGGGCTGTTTCCTGTAGCTTCAGCCCTCTGAATTGGTTTATTGAGGACATAGTTGTACCAGATGGGCACAGGAAAACAGCAAGAGCACAGGCCAGGCTGGGAGGAGCAGGAGGACCCCGTTACAGCAGCAGTGGGCTATTGGCACAGCCACCCTCATCCTACTGCAGCCTTAGACATAAACATCTGTACCACTTCACTCAGTGGTTCAGGGACCTAGGCTCTGACCCAGGTCACACAGAATGTGACCTGACACCAGCCAGGCTCTTCAACTCCAGTTTCCTTTGGAAGGAGGCCATGCCTTTCCCCAGGCCACTTAGCAGACTGCAAAGATCAGCTGCTGTGGTGCTAGGATTGTTTTTATGAAGTCTCCAACATGTTTTTCCTCACTGGAGAACTGGTTCCTTTTTTCTTATTTTTCTCATGTTCAAAGAGAAGTGGACTATTTTTAGCTCATGTTTCTCCTTTTGAACTTGCATGTGGGTATTAAGTCAACACAGGAGAATTCTGTTTCCAAAGATGGATGTCTCAGAAATGACAGTCAATAGTCACTGAGTGACAGTGACCAAGTGACTGTGGTTCTGAAATCCCTCCATAAGGTGCAGTGCACCAGGTTCAGAAAAGGTAATAGGAACTGAAAGTAGGACTTTTGGCAAAATGGGAAGCTTGGAATGTATGGCACAAATCCTCATCACCTTCCATCTGATGTTGGAGAAGTTTATTAAAAGGTTCTGCTGAAGACCCTTTATCCCAAAGCTGCCTGTAGTTCTGTAGGGCAATTTCTACCATTTCTTCTTTAGTTGTGAAACCACCCTCACTAATAGGACATGCAAACCAGGATATATGATATGTAGGCTACTGAGACTTTGTGGTGTGAAGGAGAAAGGGGATGAGGCCATAGATCCATGATTACATGGGCCAGGTAGCAGTACAAATAATGGTTATGTAACAATGCTGAGATGTCAAGTACAAGAAAAGAAAAATTAGTTTTTTGTATAATTGGCTATGTCACAGAAATTATCAGGTACAAGATGGGCTAAAGGAAGGGATTTTTCCCTGGCATGCTGAGGTCCTGAATGCAAGGACTTCAGGAAAACTGAAGGCAGTTTCTGGAGGTCCCTTCTCAAGCACTGTGAGGAATTACAGATTGTTGACCCCCACAAAGAGCCAGGTCACTTCAGCACCTCTGAAAAATGGGGTAGTTTTTGTCCAGCCCAATTTAGGAATGAAGAAAAAAACAACATACTGTCCGATAATATGATTGCGAAATCAGGGGGTTTTGGGCAAGGTAAACTGTCATGTGTTTGCTTGCTTCTTAACCCAAATTTGTTTTCTGCGTTTCTGTGGAAAATCAGAGGATGTTATAGGCTGAGTCATGCCATTATTGACTTTAGCAAGCACAGCACTGATATAAATAGTGAAACACTGGTGCGTCTTAGACAGAGGAAAAAGAGATTGAGAGGTCTTCTAGCAAGGGCTGGTAGGACAGGGACAGGGAGACAAAAATGAAGACCAAGATCCTTCTTTTCCTTGAGTTATTATATTTTATATGCTCCTCTGCTTTTCCAGTGGCTCCAGAAAAGGAAAAAGATATGCAATTTGCCAAGGTAAGGACTATGGACAGAACTAATGAAATAATTTATTGAGAAAATGAACATAGCAATGGGTTAGCAATGTAGAGTATTTTATTACCAGATCTCTGCACTTGAAAAGAAAGTTTTATATTCTAAACTGTTGCTTTTTCTTCCTCATCAGAAATATCTTGAAAACTTCTATGATTTTAAAGAAGAGAAACACTCTCTGTTTAAAGCAAAGGACCTCAACCACATGGCTGACAAAATACGAGAGATGCAGTCATTCTTTGGGCTAGAGGTGACTGGGGAGCTGAATCAGAAGACGCTGGACATGATGAAGCAGCCTAGATGTGGAATCCCAGACGTCCGTTCATACAGCGCCTTCCCACGCAGCCCCACGTGGGCGAAAGAAGATGTGACCTATCGGTAACATACATTAGAGCACATTTTTCTCCACACCACTGGGAAGCTTTGTGAATGCTAGGCAGAAGTAATGTAAACAGGTTCTTTACTATTTATTTCTGTATTTCTCCATAAAAAAGCTCCATTCAGGATGAAAGGGATAGGAATGTGGGAACTATTCAGGCTACCAAATAGTGATGAGAATACCTAAATAGGGGTTTACAGTAGTTAGCTAATAGCCTACTGAATTATATACTCAGTGGATAAAAGAAATACAGCTGAGTATAAATGTTAAGGTTTCTGAAAGGTATAAAAGAAAACTGTGAAATCTTTATCTGTTATGTAAGCAAATATTTTGGAAATAAACCACTTGAGACACATAAATAATTTTAACAACAGATTAAAATATTTGACCTTGATACCATGTGTCCCAGTCACATGTGATCTGGTTGCTTTTAATTCCTTTTGTCTTTAATTTACAGGATTCTGAACTACACTCCAGACATGCTGGAAGCTGATGTAGACGAAGCAATTGCAAGAGCCTTCCAGCTCTGGAGCAGCGTCACCCCTCTGAGGTTCACCAGAGTCTATGGAGGTCAAGCAGATATAATGATTTCCTTTGCAGCTGGATGTAAGGAAACTCTGCTGTCAGGGAATCATAGTACTTGTCACTTTTTCTTAGCAAGATAATGAAAAGCATCCCTTTTTTTCCCCCTTATTTTTAGTTCACGGTGACTTCTATTCCTTTGATGGTCCAGGAGGAACTCTGGCTCATGCCTACGCCCCTGGCAGTGGGATAGGAGGAGATGCCCATTTTGACGAAGATGAAAACTGGACCAAATTTACAACCTATGGTGGTAGGCAAACTTAACTATTGTGTTGACTGTTATTTTATTAGAAAGTGTTGTCTTGAAGATGCTGTAAAGTCACATATCCCATGGCAGTAGTTCCAGTATTTACTGAGATGTAAAATGTCAGTGGAATTTAGTAAAACAGTTCTGCATATTTTGATCTGGGATGCAGTCACAACAGTCCCTTGAAGTTAATGCAGACTGCAGTTACAGCTCCAGTGAAGGAAATTAAGTTAGCATGGAATAGCAATGTTGGGTAATCGTGACTTCAAAATACAGGGAATTTTCACCCTCAGATAATGACCTTAAAAGTAACAACATAACCTCTCACATTTGTTTGCTTGTTTTGGTTTGGTTTTTTTTTCTGATTTAAAGTCATGCTCATCTTTAACTTCTAGAAAGGAAAAAACATCTTGAATTTATTGGTGAATAAAAATAAATATAGCAGGGAATTATTCTGGTTTCCAGCAATGTCCAGGGATTATGTTTCACGTTACTGGTTTTGTGAGGTAGTTTACCAGGCAAATTCCATGTCATTTACTACTCCCAAAATCTGATCAGGTGACTAAAACCTTCTCACTTGCTTTTCAATTGTTATTAATAGTAAAGAAACCTTGATTCTTTATTGGAAAATTTCTGCAATATGGGCAAAAACTGTTCCCAGAGTGGTTTTCTAGTGAGAAATCAATGCCTATGATTCAAAACTCGTTTCTTCTCCAGGAGGCCAGGGAGGTCTTACTTGGGCATAGTTAGATTTTGCCATTTTTAATAAGACTGTGAATTATATACCTCACATGAGAGAATAGTGCCTGTATCCTGCTGTCAAGCAAAACATTTATTTTGTGTTTGTTCTTCGTGTGAATCTTTTGTAGGATACAACTTATTTCTTGTTGCTGCTCATGAGCTGGGCCATTCACTAGGTCTCAGTCATTCCAACGTTTTTGGTGCTTTGATGTATCCTGTATATATGGCCACAGATACAAGGAACTACCAACTTCATCAGGATGACATTGATGGCATTCAAGCCCTCTATGGTAAGCAAGAAGCATCATTTTCTGGTGAATGAAGGATAACAATTTATAATTAATTTTGCCCAGCAGATAAAGGTACCGAACTTCTGACTACAAGAAAAATACTGGTATTCTTTTTGGGCAAATCTCTTGGGGTTTTTGTGGCTAACAGTCTACACTGCAAAATGGAATCTGTAGACCATATTCATTCCAGTTAGTCAAAAGGTCCAAGAGCCTTTCCCCAGTGATACCAGAGGAACAGCCCACGTCTGTAGCATGAAACTCTCTTATCTTCCACAGAAGGGTGGTTATGTATGTGCACAGCTGCATATACACTCGGCTTCACACAGTACAGCCTGAAATGCTGTGACATGAACTGCTCTGATCCACCTTTCAATTCCACACTTACTTATTTTCCAAAGGACCCCCCAAGGAATCTCCTGCACTTCCGACAGAAGCTTTTCCCCCTCAAGAGCCAACTGAATTGGTACCTGCAGAAGCACCAACTCCAATGTCTCCCAGGGAAGAACCAACAGAAATGACACCCTCCAAGCCACCCCAAAGACCAGATGACTGTGACCCTCATCTGACTTTTGATGCTGTCACGACTCTCCGTGGGGAAACGCTGTTCTTCAAAGATGGGTAAGTGCTTTTATTTCCAGCAACATATTTTTGTGAGACTCACAAAGGCAAAGCAAAAAGTTCAGTTCAAGGAATTTATCCTCCCTTGGTTATAAAGGAAAATATTTTTTTCTCTAAGTGTTAAGGCAACTTTGAAAAATTTTACTAGCCCACCTGTGCTGGGTGAGTAACATGGTTTACTAACAAGTGAGTACAATGCTTTAATCCATCATACGTCACTGTCCATTCTATTAAAACTGTGCAAGGGTGAATCATTCCAGTGTCAGTCCTCAGCCTGCAGCTGCTTTACATGCAGCACTGTCCTCATCACACCATCCTGTGTGTGGGCCAGGGAGCTGTGGAAAACATCACTGGTGATTTTTGGTGTCACTCTGACCTAGGACTCTGCACTAGACCAGTATTGTCTACAGAGACTTCCTGCTGTTACAGGGTGGCCTTGTTTTGGGCATGCTCTGGCACTCACTGTAGAGAGTTGCTGGCTGGGCACACCCTGGTGAGAGCAAACAGCAGGGTCAGGGCTTCACCCCCATCTTGGCTTAGTAGTTGTGTTTTGATTGAACAAGCTTCCTTTGATGATGTGGGTCTGATTTTCCTTCTAAAACATATGACAAATTGTAGCTTAATAGTTTTCAAGGAGGAGGGGGAAAGAGCAATTCTTCCTTAAACTGGGTTTTAATGTGTTTCTCAAGAATTTTTATTTAACATTTGCAACCAAATTGAAATGAGCTGTGCCTACCTACATAGGTCATGGTGAAGAGAAAGCTGCAATTGTCAGCACTGCCACAGATATCCTAAGGTGTCCTGGACAAACCATTGTGGTGCAAATGCAGAAGTCCACAGGGCCACCAGCTGTAGGTGACCCTGGTTGGGCTGGGGGTTGGACAAGATGAGCTTCAGAGGTCCCTTCCAACCTCAACTATTCTGTGACCTCAGAGCACCCTGTAGCAAAGGGCACAGGTCTGTGAGGGAGTAGGGCAGAGTGAAGGACTGCATCCCAAAAGGGATGGTACCTCTGCCTCATAGGGAACACTGGTTCCAGCAACCAGTACATTACCATTGGATTTCAAGTACATTTATGGGCCCTTGATCTCCTAACAAAGTACAGACAATGAAGCACTGCTGGTTTTGTTTCTAACAGCTTTGTCTGGCGCAAAAGTCCATATTTCTCAGAAATTGAGCATGACACCATCTTCTCCTTCTGGCCATCACTGATAGCTGGCTTTGATGCTGCATATGAGGTTGACAAGAAGGATCGAGTGCTATTTTTTAAAGGTACTTCTCTTACATTTTCATAATTTTTAAATGCATACATGAAGTTATAGCAAGACTACTAATGTTATTTAATCATAATGGGAGGTATATTATGCTAATATTCATATTAACTCTAATACTAGTGCTGATAGAGAACACTGATAGAGGGTATTCTTAATATTTAAATCCATTTAAATTTTGCAAATTATGTTACTGCCTAATGTAACTAATGCTGCTTTACAACAATTCTACATAGACTTCCTTTGGTCAGTGAGAGCAAAGATCACAGCTGATACAAAATTGATTGCTACATTACATTATCTAAATACATTTTAAAGATGACAAACACACCTAAAATATATTGACTTTTAATTATTGAGTATATAATAATTGTAATGACTATAAAAAATAGGAAATCCAGCAGCTGTGAGAGATTCAAACTTCTGTGCGCCCTAAGTGGGTAGTGTTCTCAGCTGGACATCTGTGCTGTTTTTGGCATTTCCTACACAGAAAGCTCTGGGGCTTGGCAAAAAGGAGATCAGACTCCTCAAGAATCCTTACAACTTTTTCTGTTTTCCTGCAGATGGCCAGTACTGGGCTGTCAGTGGCTACAGAATAGAGCCAGGGTTCCCCAAACCCATCCAGAACCTGGGCTTCCCCAGCAGCGTCAGGAAAATCGATGCAGCCGTTCACGACCAAAGTACCAAGAGAACCTATTTCTTTGTTGGCAACAGGTACTGGAGGTAAGGTTCTTCTCTCTTCTATACAAGAGATAATCAAAGCAGCTTTTTTAATCAAGTGATGTGAGTATTTCTACAGGATGTTCATGTCCTCTTTTTGTCAGCCTTCTCAGCCACTAAAAGCTGAAACACAATTGCTCAGGTCTTTTCATAAAACAAAGTCTGTTACACCTGAGTGTTCACTTACTCTTATCAGGCTGTAATTAAGGGACAAATGAGTTTTGTTTATTCATTAAGAAGCAGTGTGAACTAGTATAAAAATACAGTGTATTATAATTAGTATAAAAATATAAATTGAGTGGACTTTGTCATCATGTCAGGTATTCATTTAGTAATTACTAAGAAGCAGAAGTGCTCTGTGAAATTTATAAATGACAACTCAAGAAAGTTACAGAAGGAGATGAAAATTTTTGCTTCCTAAGAAACAGTTCAGCTAATCTTAGTAATAATTAGTCTGTAATCTTAGCAGTAATCTTAGCCTAATAATTAGTCTGTAATACTATCTTGAAAGAGTGTTATTACACCTGAAATTTGCATTTCTTTTATGGGGTCACTTCATAGATTGTGTGCTGTAAAATTAAAATAATTATGTCTGATTAATTATTTAAGATTATTACTCAGTATAAGCCCCATTCAGCCTTATTGTCTGTCTCAGGGAATGAAAGTAAATGTTTTAATCTGATATTCTGAAAACAGATTTACCTAGGGTACTAAAGATGTAAATATTCACACAGCCATACAGCTCTATGAGGTCACAGATTGCAGTTGCTGGATTTTCAGCTGAGAGTAGGCATATTTTTTTAAAAATCCATCTAGTTTCAATTTTGAATGTCACATGCTTATTTTCTTATTTCCACGCAATTTCTTTATTTAGTTACAATGAAAATAATCAATCAATGGAAAGAGGCTATCCAAGAAAAATAGCTGCTGACTTTCAAGGGATCGGCCATCCAATTGATGCTGCCCTTCAGAAAAATGGTAAATAAATTAAAATTTAATTTAAAAAACTCAAATATCACCTGCCAAAGGCAAAAAAAAATATGTTTCAATACATATATTAAATTTTTGGTATGATTTTTTTAAGTCACTCAAGGAAATAGCAAGCATGTAACAATAGGTATACAAAAATGAAATATTAATTTTTCCATATTTTTCCTTCCAATTCTAGAATATTTCTACTTTTTCCATGGATCAAACCAGTATGAGGTTGACATCAAGAGGAAGAAACTCATCCGTATAATGAAAAGCAACAGCTGGTTTAATTGCTAGAAATGTTAAGTGTTGGTACAGGAGTATATTTGTACCAGAAAGAGTTTTTCATGTTTCTTGATTTTAAACAGTGTTATTCACCTGTTCCTGTGCATCTGAGTCTGAAATGATGGCCTTTGGCAATTCTAATTTAAAACCTTTAAAATGTAAAACCTAATGTACAGTTTTAATTTATTTTCATTCTCCAACTATTTATTAATCAAGTTGTTTTTGAGAAATAAAGTATTTTGCTTGAGTTCAGCAGTTCTCGTGCTCTGATTCAGTCCACTGGAGACAAGGCACCTGCTACAGCCACACACAAGCTGTATGGCACCAGGATCCATCAGCATTTTCAGCAGGGCTCAGTGCCTGTGGGGGGAAAGTTAAAGAGAAGTGGAGGGGCAGTTCTGGCAGGCAATTAGAAATTGCCCAGGTGACAGAGGAGGGAAACAAGGTGCTCAGGAACAATGTGAGGAAGGCATAAAAAGTAAGAGGAGATCCTACACAGGAGTGTTTGAAGGGAGAGACTGGAGTCTGTGGCATGCCATGACCCCTGCACAGGGACAGAGGCTGGGGTTGGGACAGGTGGATGGGAACATGGCAGTGGCTGAGAGCACCAGTGCGCCAGTGCCACTGAGGGTGGTTTTAATGGACAGTCATTGGTACAGCAGGACATGAGCAACCAGAGAGAAGGGTAAGTGTCCACCTTGGGGATGGAAGTAGCATGCAGGCAGGGTGGGAAGTGATGGAGATATGATCATAGGGTCACAGGGAGCCAATGGATTAGCCCTCCTGAGCTGCAGTCATGTGCCATGGAAATGGAGTCAGGGCTGGCAGTCCACCTCACAATACTTGACAACAAACCAGAAATAAGAACCATTTTCCTGCTAGAGCACGCAAGCCAAAATAATAAGAAAAAATCTAAGGATTTTTATGTAACTACCACAGATGAATCCTCCAGAGGATGAGTGGTGAGACACACCTGCTTCCTCCTTGTTTGGGTCCTGCTCACAGGGCAGTAGCTCAGTGATTTTAAACACCCCTTGGGCTTTAAAAGAGCTTAGCTGTAGTCCATCCTCTCTTTGGAGGGATTTGATCCCACCTCTTACAACACTGATGTGATGATGTGATTGTGCAAGGAAGTCAACTGGCTATTAATCTTTCTCTAACAGAATTGGCAAAGGCAAAAAGAGAGGCTGGGAATGGCTGACAAGGACAGTATTCCAGTTGCCACAGCTCAAACCCCATTAGGCAGAGGTAAAATTTGCTCCTGTTCTTCTGCACAGGGCAGTTGCCTCAGACATCTGATCTACCATACTACCACCTGTCATACTACCACCTGTCCCCCCATCCATGTGGGCTAGAGGAAGCCATGTGTCTCCCAGTGCACCCACAGGCCCACTGTGCTCATAGACAAGATCAAAGAAAGGCAGCAGAGATGATGCTAGGTTGGAGGGGCCTTTGAGCAACCTGGTCTAGTGGAAGGTGTCCCAGCCTGTCAAAGGAGGGCTGGAATGAGATTATCCTGAAAGTCCTTTCTACCCCAAAAGTTCTATAATTTTATGATCTTGGAATATCTCATCCCTGGCATGTTCTCCTCATGCATGTTTTGTGCCATACTAGATATGCTCTAAGTACCTCTAAAGCCAGGTTTAAAACCAACCTACGTTACAAATCAGACCATGTCTTAAAAGTTACTTTTAACAACAGTCCCTACTGTTGTGTCAAGTAGGGACACAAGAGCTCAGCATTGCCACAAGGACAGCGGATCACCATGGCAGAGTCACGGACTGAAAAGTGGCTGAGCTCACCTGGGAGCAGTCCAGGCAGGGCAGAGACACAGGATAACTGGGGCTACCCCAACATCTCCCAGTGTCTTTCTCAACAGCTCTTGCTCTGTACATAGCCTGTCCTGAACAAACTTCAATCCAAGGTCTTTTGATGCCTCCAGGCTTAGGCAGGGTGCTTGTGAGTACTGTTTGTGCATAACTAATGGCGTTAATTCCCTTTGTTTTTAAAAATGCCTACATACTTTGATATCCTAAATAGATGCTTTCTTGTATGTGAAGGCTACCTTCAGAAACCAAGCCTTTAGGCTCTGGTTGCTGTCTGAGACTTGAAAGTGGTTAGGGAGGGACCAAAAGAAACATTTCAGCAACAGCAAAGAAGAACACTGTTGGTGTTTACACTGACTTACATTAAAGTACTTCTCCTGCATAAGGTTAGTAATACTTTTTAGTTATGACATCCAGGAAACAGCAAAATTAAAATACTCCCTCCACCTTTGAGTATTAAGTACCTTAAACTCACAATATCTGAAAAATGAGTGATATTTACTTAGCTGTGAAGAAAAATGTAGCCTGGAGCAGAAACGGATGACAACATGCCGTGGATTTCACGTAGACAAGGGGACTAATGAGATGTGTTAATCATGGAATTTCTGTCTGTATTTTTGCTTTGTTAATGTCTTAAACTTTGAAATGAAACAGCACTATCAGTTTGGGAAAAGCAATGAAATTCCTGGTAAATGGAAGATGTAGCTCAGATGATGTTGGAAACATCGGAAGCAGGAAAGCTGGAGCTGTCTATACTCAGTGAACAAGAGAACATTTCTTGCAACCTTGATTTTGGTATAAGTCATAAATTATTGCTGGAATTAAAAACCTCTTGGGTGCCGGCAGGGGAAATTTATCCACAAACGTAATTTCAAGTACTTGTCCTGTATGAATAGGAACTTTCCTTGAAATCCAAGGGCAGGCATGCAAATTAGAGTCACAAATATAACCTGTTACATCTAAAATTCTTGATTGCAACAACAGTTGACCTAGACCAAACCTCTTGCACATGAAATCTCAAAAATCCCTTAATGACTTCACTGACAGAGCAAGGGTGACCCATGTGCGAATTGACTGGAACTGGAACACTGAATGCTGCCAGGGAATCAGCATTGCCATGCTGGAGACCCACAACTGTTATATAAAAGCCAGAAGTAGGTCACACTCTGTCAGCAATAAGATATTTTTGAGGCTAGGTTTGTGCTGCCAGGTCTGAGGGTTTGCAGCACAGCCAGGAAGGAGGTGCCAAAGGCACTGAGTTAAGCAATGCTGGTGGCAGGCAGGCTGAAGTTGCAGTTTTACAGCTCAGAAGTTTCCCCTGCACAGACCTGCTCTCCCAGGGTTTGACCAGGGGTCCAACACTGCTACCAAGGTTCAGCCTGGCCAGGATACTGAGGGCACATAAGGCAGCAGAGAGGAGCCATTTCAAGCCCTGAGTAATTAAGCCCTTGGCTTTGCACAACAACTCAACTTAGTTTCATCCTATTGAAGCTCTATGAGATGCTCTTTTCTTGATACTACATTATTCATTAGTTTTAAAATATATAAAGTGTGAATTAGCAATAACTTTTGTGTTAAGGTTAATAATAATAACAATAAACATGTTGTGTTACCTGTTACATGTCTTGTGTTATATGTCTTAGGGTGGGGCTATGGGAACACATCCAAGGCAGAAGATTAAGTCCTGAAGAGGAAGGGCAATCCTAGGAGCTTACCCAGACAACTTTACAGGTTGTAAAAGGGAGAGCACAGTAATTTTCAGACTGACTTCTTTAAACCAAAACCAGAAACTGACATTATATACTGTGCTACTTCTAGGTAAAGTCACCTCAAAGAGGTGACAGATATCAAAGAAGGTCTTTGTGATTATGGAATTTTCTTTATATAGCATATTCTAGGTGATGGATCTCTTGAGAGAAATGGGGAGTAGTATCAAGAAAAGTGGGTGTCACGGTGAGAAAGAGGTTGACAGAGTAACAGAAGTATGTACTTGGGAAAGCTGATAATCAGAAAACTGTATAAATTTCATTCATACCTTCCTAGAGGGTTTTGCTGCCTTTTAGTAGCTCTCTCATTGGAGAGAAAGATGAGTAATGAAAATTTAAGTCCTACAATCTGGAAAGTTACTTCTTCCTTCTAGCACACATGGAGACACTGAGAGAAGAGCAAAAGTGTTGGAAGGCTGTAGAGAGCTGTAAGTTCCAGAAGCTATTTCTGCAGAGTGGTACTGTCAGTGTGTAAGCTGCACAGGAGAACTCTGGACCAAGTTTTGGAATCATCTCACCCACTCTGGTACACCTCACATAATTCTGTGAGTGGAGTCATTACCAAAAGCTCCCTCAGGGGATTTTTTTCCCCTTGGCTCAGCTGGTCCATTTCTGAGTCATTCCCTGAGCCTGTCCATCTCCTTCCAGGACTAGGGAGGGGTTCTCTCCCTAATGGAAATGCCTCAGGTAGATGTCTGCTCCTAGGGTAGGAATCCAGTCCTCAGTGACCAGATAACCCTTGTGGAGCCCCACCAGCCTTGCCTTGCTGGTTCAGCTGCCCAGACCCAGTAAAAGGCATGCAGTGCTCTGGGGATCCTTCTGGTACCAACACAGCGCTCTTCAGCAGGAAATAATTTCAGCAAATACCTCGAGGGTACAACATATTTATAAACTCTCCTTTCACATCTCTATTATCCTGAAAGCTCTGTGAAAGGGGGTTTGTCTCTCTGAACATTCAAAGCCTCACCTGCTCCTCAGTGCTGCCGGCTTACCTGAAATCCTGTGTCAGCCCCACACAGACGTCTCAGATATGTGAGCTGTCTTCAATGGCAGTAGACATCTCTCTTCAGGACTCCCATCCCCACTGCTTTTTCCTCATTTGTGGGAGTGCATGGAGGGTGTGATTGGGCATGGAGGAAAAGTGGACCCAGTCTAGAGTGGGCCTGCTGTTGAGTCTCAGCAGTTCCTACACCATGGCAGAAAGGGAGAACAGAGGAACCTCTCTCTGACAAGGACAACCATCAAAGAGTTTGATACAGAAAACCTCAGAGATTTTTAACATCTTATAGTAAGTATCAAAGAAGGAGAATGTGAAATAAAGTCTTTGGACAATTCTCTGAGAATACTGGAAAAACTGCTAAATAAAAGTAGCATGAAAAAATCTTGGCTCAATTTTTATAATTTTTATATGCTGGGAAAA